ATTATTTTAATATTTATAATTTAAACAAATTAAGTTATATATAAGCTTACGTACTTATAAGAATTATAAATAGTTTAATATTTAATAAACATCTGATATTTATATTCAAGTAATAAGCAAATGTTAATATCTATTTTTTAAAGATATTGTACTATAAAAGTTCAACATTATAGTGTTAAGCTTTTCTTGTTTTTTTTTTCTTCTTAATACAACGTTTTTGAAACTGATAATTTTTTTTTTTATTAAATATAAGAATGAAGTTTAATTTGCATCCTAAATTGTCTCCTAAAATTATTTCCTCTTCATTTTTTTATACCTTCTCTTTTTGTATACCTTCTTACCTTTTCTTTTATAGGTGTCACCTGATATCACCAGCGTAGACATTCAAAACATTGATCGTTTTATTAAAACGGCAGAGTTCTTTGGTCAAAAACAAAAGCTTCTTTATCTTAAATTCTACAATTGTCATATCATAATATGGTAGACACCATTTCTAGTCTCATTGAACCACATCTTTAACGAGACAGGTTGCCACCGATGTCTAACAACTAATACCTTGTCTTTTATTTATGTAAATTTTTTAAATAACTTTTTTAGTTTATAAATATTTCGTGAAATTAAGGTTACCAGATGCTATATTTGTACATATATAATAAAGTCACAATCTGTTTTAACCAATTATCATAAAAATTTCTTTGGAGCACATATTAGGCTTTGCTTTAAATCTATTTGTTTACAATTTGTATACAAAATAAAATAGAGTGTTACTTATCCAGGAATTTTTTTCTATGTTCATATAATAAATAAATAATATCTCCTCCGAGTTTAACCTAACCATGTAGTATCATACATATAATCTCTGAAGTTCAATGGCCAAAATTTTATACTGTTTACCTTCAGGCAAAGTGAAACTAAGAACAAAATGTGAACAATTTTCGTTAGCATATCCCCAAATGAATCATCAAATGCCATAGGCAAACAGAATGTTAGCAATCCTTAAGGAAATACTGAAACTCATCATTGCACATAAACAAGTGAATCAAGGACACATACTGTTGCTCCTATACAGCACTTATTTCGTATGCAGACTCACCTCATCGGTGTGGCGCGAAACCAAGGATACCAGAGCAACAACAAGTCAAACGAAAACAAGAGAAATGCTTTAGATTGTCTGGAATTTGACTGTTTATCAATTTATCAAAAAGGGTTCGACTTTTGGAATTTGATATTAACAGAATACAAATGAGAATATCAACAGAATTCAACAAATTTGCCAACTAATTTTCTTTTAGTTTTAGTGCTGCTGAACTTTAAAAGGCAGAGAAAGTGGTTTATCACATTCTCTAAAATTATTGCTTTCCATTTAACTATGAAATATTTGCTATAATTCTGAAGTTTTGTATGACGTACAATGTAGCCAACATAAAATAGGAAAAATATTTTGTAGTTTCAAATATAGCAAAACTGTTGCATATTATCATATTTTTTTTATTTACATTCTATTTTTGAATATACCTTTTAGTCTGATTAAGTTCGAACAGTTGAACTGTAAATAGTTTTCATTTATCATTCAGAAGTATTGTACAAATGCAGCATGACTAAGTTGATTCCTATAGTTGTGGTAATCAAACTACATGAACAATACTTCTAACTTAAGCATTTTTCACGAAAGTGAAGTTTAAATATACTTTCATATAATTCTAAGCAACATATGTATTTAATTTTACTATCGAGAGAACTATTTCTAGAAATATTCGTACATTCTAACACCCACATGACGCAGATGTGTTAACGCACCTACTTAAACATTTTAAGTTTCATTATTATTATTAATAATCAGTTGAAAATTACCGCATCAATTAAGCGGTATCAAACTCATTACCTTTGTTAGATTATTAGGAAAGTTTCTGCATATTTGCAGGTTGTATGATTCTTGAGACATAAATATACTTTTATATAATTCTAAGCAACATGCATATGTATTTAATTTTACTATCAAGAGAACTACTTCTAGAAATATTCGTACGTTCTAACACCCACATGACGCGAATGCTGTTAACGCACCTTAATTAAACATTCTAAAGAATATATTTTGATTTACATTTTTTTTAATTTTTATGCAAAGTCAGATCCTTTGTAAAATGTTAATAATTTTTTTATTAATTTGCTATCCTTTTAAAATAGGAATTTGTCAAATTTCTGTAAAACTAACATACAGCGATAAATACTCACACAAACTATTTGCCGGCAGGTGCATGTACTTTAGAATGGCGCTGGTTTTACGAAAATCAATTTTCTTTATGCGGCATCATTCAAATTTTTTCATTTACATAGAAAAATAAGATAAATTTCTTTTCATTCTTTAAATAAATATAGCGAATATTCGAACAATTAATAAATCTAGAAAAATTATTTCATAAATATTCAGAAAGGTTTTAGCTTCAGATGGATGAAATGTGCTCACGTCTCATATTATTTTTTGAAAATACAACTTTCTCTTATAGTCAATATTGACAATTTTTCATGATCCGCTTGCGAACATTCATTTTATTATTCAAAAATTGTGTTTAATCTTTTCCAAGAGAGCAAACATCATTGATAGGCTATATTCCTTTTTCTATTTTAAAAATCAAAAAAAACCTCTGATACTAAAGTAACACCACTATCCCTGACAGCTGATGGAAATGCTCAATTTCTTGGTTATGCTGTGTTCAACAAAGCTTTTAAAATAATAATTGTGGATAACTATCTATAAAAATGCTTGATTTCTTTTTGTTCCTAGATTTGCCCTTCCTACTAGAAAGGAAATGAGCGATCCTACGTTCAACACGGTTTTCGAATAACATCCTTTGGGTTATGTTACATTTTGTTAGTAAGAAAGTTATACCAACAAGTTCTATATATTAAAATCTTTTGACCACACGGTTATCCATTATTGACCCAACCCAGCTATGCGTTTTACATAAATACATGTTCTTTAAAAACTCCAGAGATTTACGCTTTATAGAGTTTTCTTCTGCAGATAATTTATGGAGAGTAAAAAAATGTAAAATTTACATTGACAATATTGGAGCAATAATTATGACTAAATGAAATTTTGGATGGCATACTTGCAAAGAGTACCAAGAACCTTTGGGAATTACCATGACCTAATGTAAATTGTTATTGAGTTCTTTCTGCACTAATACTTTTAACAAAAGATGGGAAGACTCAACGATATGTAAACATCTGTATGCAATCTGGCCACTTTCCGATAAAAAGAAATCGAAAACTCTAATTGAGATGTCCCCCAAAGACATTGGTCTTCTGGTAGGGTTGACTACAGGACACTGTAAACTAGGGAACCATGCTTGAAGACTAGGTCTTCCTTTCAATCAAATCTGTCGAAGCTGTGGGGAGAACGATGAGAGCGCATCTTATCTTTTGTGTTTTTGCCCAGCTCATGCACGTCGGCGACTTAGTACTTTAGGAGCCCCCTACCTTAAGGACCTGGACCAGTTACAGGATCTGACTTTAAATAGCATTTTATGCTTCGCAAAAGGTTCTAGGTTTTTATTATATATATACGGCATCACAATGGGCCAATGGGCCTAAGTGGATCCACTAGGGATCACCGGTATAACCTAACCTACCATGACCTATTTCAAAAATTATTTTATTTTAATATATTAAATAATTAAATCTATTTATTCTATTTCAATGAGATTAAATGAGATCTTACATATACGAATAACTCTATACGATCATAATTATTATAAAAGAGTAAAAGAGATCACTTGGAAAAACTTATTGATTAAATCGTTCATATATAATTCTTAAATCGCAAGTGTCGGGAATTAAACCTTTTCAGATTTGAACCGTGAACCCGCGTATTAACACTCAAAACCAACGTACAATTAATTTGCATTATTCGAATTTAGATTTTCATAAATTGTTGTTATTTATCACAGCTATATAAGTAATTCTATTCTCATAAATTAATTTACAAATTTCAAAACTATTGTTTCTAGAAAAAAAATTCTACATATTTATTTGATGAAAAATTCTTAAATTTGAAGGTTTGTACATTTTTTCACCATTACCCCCTTTTCTTTTCGAAATAGATTTCTTGTCCTAGGGCAAAAATTTTTAATTGGAACAGTACCTTGTGTTTTTGCTTACTGTATCTTTATTTAATTAATTTAAACATTTCTGTCGAACAAAAAGCGAAGACAAAGAAAAATCTGGCAATCATAATAATGCCGTCATTAATTGTACTAATAAGGACATTTAAAATTGAGTTAAATCTTCTGCCAGACTGACTTTAATCAAAAGTTAGCGAATGTTTATAATTTAAGAAAAATACTAAAATAATTGAAAAAACAACAATTTTAATTAGTATAGTCAGGTTAATTTAAAATTTTGTACTTTTAGGTCATAAAAAAAAATAAAACATTTAAATAATAATAAATGATGGAACAGATAAAATTAATGTAACAATTTCCTTCCTAAAATTGATGAGTGCTTTAAAAAATTTTCATTTAAAAAATTGGATTACGAGTACAACAAAGTATGTAGGAAGCAAAATTTTTATTCACTTCTACACTCGTACTTCTGCTACTTAAGGGCAATTTTGCTATCTAGATTGGAAGAACAATGTCGAAACGCCTTTGCAGTAAACAAGACTCTCACATCTAAAGGAACAGATAATTATGTAAAACTGCCTTTACCTGTCTAAGGAAAGCAGTGTACGCATTTTAGGTACATTACTTTAAACATTAGGCAGTTTGTACGAGTATACAGTAACTTAGTATGTACTTTGGTATACAAATTCTAGGTCAGTCAAACGTTCGCGTGAAGAGAAATATCTGCATCTGAAAATGCTTAATGTGTACTCATTAATTTAAATTAAAAATTAATAAAAATATAACAATAATGTAATATTCTCTCTTTAATTACGAGTAATTTGCTTTAGGCTTAATGGAATAATACGAATTAAAGCTCCTTAAATTTTCACTCACCATTGTTATAAAGATACCGAATTCTGGATTCATTTCGATGGTGTCGCCATCAGTAAATAAAAATGATTTTTTCTTCTCTTTCTTGGCTGTTAAAACAACAGCCACTTGTTGCGCTGCCACAGATAGAACAGGCAACTCAATGCGATTGAATTCATCAAAACAGCCCCAAGTGCCAGATTGTGCAAGTCCCTTGTAAATACGCCCGAGGCCTCTGTAAATAAATGTGCGGGTGTACGATATCAAACCAAACATAATGTACTCATCTTCATACATATACATATATATGACATTAATTATAAATTTAAGCCAATGCGCTACAAAATACTTTTAAAATGTAATTTGTGTCGTACTACACACACGAGTTGATTTTATATACGACTATGATACGTGAGTATATATGTCATATGTAGAACTTAATACCTGTAATCCATTTGATCAGAGCAATTAAATACCACAACATATTTAGCCAATGTCTTGCCCATATCCTTGACGGTTTCCGTTTTGCCAGTACCTGCTGGTCCACATGGTGCACCGCCCATACTCAGGGTTAACGCTTGTGCCAATGTAATATAACAGCTTCAAATAGTGTAAAAATAAATATAAACACAAAAATTTAATTATAATTTGTACATCTGATATTAAAAAAAAGTCAACAAAAGGGTCCTTACAATTAAATCATAAAAATAATTTTGACATCAAACCATAGCACTACATGTACTATATGTAAATTATTTAAAAAAAAATTATTTATATAAAAATTAATAAAACTCAGTAAAAGCCAATTAAACACAGTTCGTTCCTTTTAATTACACTGTAAAAAATGTACGAGTTTATTATTAAAGTGTAATATGCGGATAATTAATTTAATGCACAGCTTCGTATTGTAGGAGCTGTGGCTTTCAATATTTACTTTAAAAGCTTTCTCAGATACAAATAAATGTTATCCTTTTGTAATTATAGCGTTTTCGTATTTCGTATGCAAATTACAGAATGTCAATTGTAATAATTAAATTTAATTATATTTAAATGCTGAAGTGTATTTTCTCTTTAGTATAGTTAAGCTTGTATAAAAGACAATAAGGTTTTAAATGATTTTTTGTAATATGATTTTTAGTTATCGTTATTTTATACTAATACTATGCGTATATATCATGACATATCTCTATATCATAGATATTAATACTCGTATATATGAGAGATGTGAACATAGTACAATTGATAACCAGTACAAGCATTTATAAAAAAATATGCTGCGCTAATATATGTATTATAAAAATGTATATAACAAAATTAAATTGAAAATAGAGCTCATTATATGGTATAACAAAATTAAATTAAAAGTAATGCAAGTACGATAAACGTTGTTGAATATACAGAATTAGTAAGTCTTGTCTTCTCAGTTCTCTTGCCTTACAATATAATGTATGTGTATTCTATACAATTCTAAAGAATAGATATACGGCCAACTTTTAGATGCTTTGAAAATAGTTTGGCAGATAGACAAGGGCAACCCTTATATCAACCCTTATATGTAATCACCCATTTAACAATTAGTAAAATACCATAAACGAACTGTGATACAATTTTCTATAAATCAACATAGTTATATGCATATAGTGCTATTAGATCATATTTGTGAGAAAAGAGGAATCCCTTCAGAATGTTTCACAAACATAAACCACATATATACAAAACGAATATAAGATCGATTTTTATGTATGGATGTAAAACGATATCTGAACGAATTGACCTACGACAGCCCATTACTTTGCCCTGAATATACTTACAAAAATATTTGAATATATCTTTTATGATATAATTTCAAATTAAATATGTTAAATGAAAAATATAGTATTACAAGTCCAATGATGAATAAAGATAATAAAATATATGGTCATAATCTAAACTAAAAATTGAAAGTTTAAGCCGGTTTTTATAAAAACATACTTTATGTTAGCTTGTCTTATTATGTAAATCTATTCAAAATTAATGTACGAGTATTAAGTTATTTATCATGAGGAACGTCTTGATTTGAATATGAGCATTAAGTGCTTTGGAACCAAATCATTATAATTTTATTTATCATTGACATCTTCAGAGATCTCAAGATTGATCCGATCAAGAAATACTTAAGGGATAGAGCACTGAAATTATTTGCGAAAACTGACAGACCTACCAACACCTCGTTATCAAATCTCAGAATGGTTACAGGCTCCTCGGAGAGGTATGTAGATCTGAGGTCAATTATTGTTTAGTCTAATGAAGTGATAAATAATAATCCAGTCAAGGCGTAAAGAGGGGTTTTGAAGATACCTCGAGTTAAGAAAGAGTAAAAGTGCTCAAGTGCACTGGCTCAAATAGCTTCAACATAACTACAGTTAAAGTACAGTCTAAACATTTCTTCCAAGACTCCTTCATTCCTTAGAATATCTCACAACTACTTCCCAGTCAATGATCCCAAATTGTTAAACATAATTATACTAGTTGAACCGAAATGTACCATAAACAATACATGTATTTAAATTAAAAGTAGTTCAGATAATATATATATTATTTAATTTATGGATTTCTATAATAATATAACTTTTTATTATAAAATTGTTACTGAGAATTAATTTATAATTTAATAGACATACATGTATGTATATACACATATAAAAATTATTGTGTTTTAAATTAACTTTAATGTTAATTTGCTATAATTAAACAATAGTATACCCATATATGCAATTTTTTTAAAATTAAAATTCACTAAACCTTTAAAGTTGATTCTAAACATTATTTAATTTAATTTAAATAACAGAAATCTAAAAGTCTCTTAATCATTGTTTTAATATCAAAAATGCTTATGAAATGCTGTTATAAATAATAAAACGTATTAATTCAATTTATTAAATAAATTTTTGGCATTTAATATTTAAACCAATTCAATGAAAATTCTTTAAATTTAATTAAATTACGTTTAATAACGTATCTATTGCTACGTTATTAATTGAAAAAAGGGGAAGGACAAGTGTGCTTATAGAAATATTTTGTTTGATTTATTAAAAGCAATTAAACTTAGCAATAAAAATATAAAAAATATATAAAAAGTTAATGTTGAGTTCCCTTTTTGGTTAATTGTTGAAATATCCGTAATTAGTATTAAATTATCCCCTCTTTAGTTAAATTTCTATTATCAATAATAATAGTTTGTAAAAAGAAACAGTATTCAATGTATTTGAAGAAGAAATTAAATGTTAGGTGAATTAAAACAATTTTAATTTATAATAATTATTACTTTTTTATTACTTTTTTTTTGTGACATTACGTGAAAGAAAATTTAATAAGGAAAACACTTTTTTTTTATGTTGAAGCTATTTGAGCCAGTGCACTTGAGCACTTTCACTCTTTCCTAACTCAAGGTATTTTCAAAACCCCTCTTTACGCCTTGACTGGATTATTGTTTATCACTTCATCAGACTAAGCAATAATTGACCTTAGATCTACATACTTCCCCGAGGAGCATGTAACCATTCTGAGATTTGATAACGCGATGTTAGTAAATCTGCCAGTTTTCGCAAATAATTTCAGGGCTCTATCCTATATGTATTTTTTGATTGGATCAATCTTGAGGTCCCTGAGAATGTCTTTCGTTCTAATGTACCACGGCAGTTTGAAAAGTCTTCTTAAAACTTGGCTTTGTACAATTTCTAGCTGGTAAATAGTAGTGTTTGAAGCTTTGCTAAACGCTACACTTCCATATAGAAGTGACGGACAAATTATTTGGTTATATAACAGTTTCCTATTCTTAGCATTGAAATTTTCATTTCTGAATAGCGGTTGGAGGTAATGAAGAATATGGGCACAGCTAATTCTTTTCAGTGGAACATGTTTAAGCTATGTGAATCGTTTATCCAACGTGATGCCTAAATATTTAACGCTATCCTCCCATTTTTTTACCATGTCTCCCACTCTCATTCTCGACGGATTCTGTCTCCACTTAAGCGTTTTAAACAGAGCCTTCGTTCTTTCATTATTGGTTTTTATTTTCCATTTCTGGAATTACTCCCGAATGAGGTTTATATGCTCTTGAAATGTGTTGGTTATGTTGAGAGCACATTTATCTAAGTATAGCATACCTAGGGACCGAACTTTGGAATATCAGATATATACATGTTGTAGAGAGCGGAGGAATGTGGCGATTTTTAAAGCCTATTAGCATATCCCAAATAATTGAAAACTAACAAAATTATTCCAGGGCAACTAGGAATATTCGGAAAAAAATTTTGTTTGAACTAGCTAAACAAGGATCAAGCATGTTGACCAGAGAAACAAGTACTAATCTCATTAAAAGGTGATCAAAATAATTTTTAACAGTAACAGAACATAAATAGAAAACTACGATGGTCTTCGAAAAATCCAAACTAATACGACCAAGTTATAATTATCAAGAACAAAAATAATATAAAATAGAAGCAAAATCAAGGTGTAAACTTCTAGCTTGTTCCCGGTCAAAAATATATAAATTGCTAGACTTATTATACAAACTTAAGAATTGAAAAGAACCACAGATTGTCAATACATGTATGGATAGTAATTTACATTATCTATATTTATATATATTTATCTATATATGTTTATTATTATAATATATGTTATGTATATATCTACTATATTATCTATATTTATACTAGAACTAAAAAGTAAATGACTTATTTATTTTCTTTGTATTTGATGAAAATAAACTTTGATTATGTTGTGAATCTAGTCAAGACCTATTTTTCTATATCTCTTGTTGAAAAAGATCTGATGCAAACATCTCGACGCTTTATTTCAAACATCTGGTTACTTTATCTTACATTTAAAAATTGCTTAATAAGACAATAATGTGTCCAGATGATGAAAAGACATCCAACTTTATATATCTTCTTTTACGAAAAAAAGTATAAGCCTTTAAAACAAATTAAAGAGAATCTGTCGGTTTCCATAGATTCCAGCTTATACTTTTTTAGTGATTTTATTTAGCACTCGTTTTGTACTTATATGTTATGTTATATGTGTATGTTAATATAGAATTTGTCATCCACACATTAATTTTGGAAAACTGGTTGCAGAGCCAAACCAAAAACTTTAATAAATCTTTTGTCTTAACTTGTCTCTTCAATCGTGACTTTGAAGTTCTAATCTTACAACTTTCAAACGTTTATAGCACATTCATCACATTCATCACATTCATCATTCATCACATTTATTACAGCCTATACTACCAATAAGAAGCCTAATTGTTAACATTGAGCAGCAACTTTTATATATACCTAGCTAGTAAACACAACTAATTAACAGCTAAAGAAGTGCTGTTAACTGGCTTTTTGACTTTTGGTTATGCTAGTGTTTATATTTGCGATATATAAATTTTCTTCATAATTGCCATAAACTAAGTTTAGTAGAGCAATTAGATTTTTCAGCCCCTTAAATATTTTTTTTAATATAATTTTGTATAGTTTAAATAATTCTCCTTGATCTAAAAACTTTTCGTTTGCTATTGTTTTTTGAAAAACCCACATATATTTTAAATTGGCTATAAAATAGAACACATAAGCTTTTTCATTATCGAACTAAAAGCTTTGAAAACTGTTAATACTCTAAGACAGTTGATATTAACTTATAAAAAGTAATAAACTTTTACACACTTTCCTTTAAAAAATCCACATATTTGCGTAATAAATTTTACCCTAAAAGTGTGGAAAAGTTTTCATTACTTCATATAACATAGTTTATTTAAATCTTTAATGTCTTAATAAAGCTTTTGTGATATTTTAATAGCATTTAAAGAAATATTTTCAAAACAAAATTCTCAACGTTAACAGTAAAAATAGAAAGTGAAACAGCAAATTTCTCCACATTCTTTAATTTCATTTAAAACTTTCTCCGAACGAAACCAAATATTTCAAAACAAACTTTCAAAGACTCGAAGTAATTTGAGAAATTTGCGGAATTTGAGCAAAAATTACTGTGAAATACTCTGTGATAGATGCACTGGGAAGTTGAAATAAACTACCACAATTTAGTGCAGTTACTGCAGAGTTGAAGAAGGATATATAAGTGTATAAAATAATACAGAAAAATTAATATTTAAATATTACTTTAGTGCAGACTCGTATGATTGATAATGTTTCAAAACAGAGATTAGATTTAAAACAAACCACATGTGCTCTTTTGCGTGAAATAATGTAATAAATGTCACATGAGAAAGTAATTGAAAAAGAAAGTAGAAGGATATCAAAATATAAATAGATATTTAAATTATAAAATGCACATATCAAAAAAAATTTATATCATATTGAAGGTGTTACAATATAACAAAATCTAGGGAAGTTATAATAGATTGACTTCTTCATACTCGTAAAAGCCTGTCTGAGATACCTTGAACAGATATATTTGTATGCATAATAGATACTTTTTTAAAAATATATAAAACACAAAAAGGCTATGAGATATCATTTCTATTTTCCGTTTTCATTACAGCAAAATTTAAAATAGAATTTCAAGTAACGAAAAAGAAATTGATTGATAACAATTTAAAAAAAACCTTGAGACATCACAGAAAATAATAAAATAACTGAGAGTAATTTGTGCAGTATAATACCGTCCTCAAATCGTGTAATTTTTTTTTAATCTATGGTAAATTTGCTAACACACTCACCGATCTGTAAGTGGCGTAATTACTAAACGATCCGTACAACCCAAATATTCATTTTGGTACGTAAATGTTACATCTGTCACTGATATCCAAGTTTTGTCTAAATCTTCCTTAAAATAAAATCGACATTGCTTTAACCACTCAAAATCATTCGCCGACTTTATGTTCATGCGGCACTGAAAATAATTTTTAAAATTTCACACCTTTTCATATACACATATAAATTTCAATAAAACCTATTTCTATATTTAACCTAAAATTCATAAGTGTCAACTAACTAGAACTGCCTTACATATTATTCTTTTTACATTATTATTTCTTCAAGCCATATTATTCTCTTTTCTTTACAAATTAATCTATCGCTCCTAGTTTATTTCTCACATTATTCCAATAATTATTTTTAACTATCTTACTCACTTACTCATTTTGTGTCCCATACTTCGTCATTGGTACCCCCACTTATTTCTTAAATTTCCTTTTATATTCTTATCTCTTAGTTAGTTGTGGTGGATGGAGGACGAATCCTCCCCAATTAGCTAAAAAAGCTAATAACCCTCTATCTAGGGTAGTAGATAGAGGGTTAGCCTAAAACCAGCCAGAGGCATTAACACAGGTAAGAATCTGGGTAATGCTAATGCTGGAGATATCGCTAAGTGAGTTAAAGAAGGGGACCCCCAGAAGCTTAAACCTAGTTCTGACCAGACCTGTACAAAAACACATCAGGTGTTTTGGTGTCATTTCTTCAGGGGCTGGTACACACGCACTGCAAGTGGTACCACAGGAAAGGCCGACTCCAGCTCCATGTCGTTCTATGGACCAGTGTCCCATAAACACAGATATTAGCCTAGATACCTCAGATTTGTTTCTACAAATTTTCTTATCCTTTGCTTCCTCCCCTTTTTTTACTCTAACTTCATTGTAATATTTATAACTCATTTTATACCATTTTTATTTCTTTTCACAATTCATCTTGATATTCTTAAATGTTAAATTTTAGTTTTTCTCTTTCTCTTCCCTGTTTTCTTTTTCTTTTTTATTAAGTTTTACACGCAATACTTTAAAATCTTGTATATCTACTTCAGGTATAAAAGTGAAGCTTTTTATGACTCAAAGAATCTCTATTTTTTTTTTTTTCGTCTCATTACTTTTATGGTCTCTCATTTAAATTATATCTCTAAGTTTCTCTATCTTTCCCCTGCTCACTATAAAGCATTCTTTTGGTTTAACTTACTCATAATCCCCTTTTATTATATTTACCAAAATATCAAATATGTCCCGTTGATGTACGTGTATCGTTATTAACGTCTCGAAACTGGTGCGTTCCATTTTCGTCAAATTACGCGTTGTTTGATCTATAAGTGTATTAAGCATTTCTAAAAATTTATTATTTGTCTCTGACATGACTTTTCTCTCAACTCTGGCCTGCATCAGTGCCATTTCCGCGTCGCGTGTCCAAATCATTTGTATGCCAAGTAAACCAATTTGGGCTGGCACTTTCTCTAAAAAGCCCAACAAAGTAAAATTTGGATCATTAATAGTCGCATAAGCGGTTCTAATAATCGAGTGTAATGACTGCTGTGCTGTGACCAGTAATTGAGTAAGCCATGTCTCAACAGAACCCTCCGCACGTATAGCGCGATCAAGTTGTATAGTTTCGCCCTCGCTTGAAATAATTGCCATCATCTTATTATATTCAATATCGTGAAATTTCACTTTACGAGTATTATCAAAAATGGAGAGCAAATGATTTTGTATGGTGTGTGAGTCTGATGCTTGACCCAATATTTCCAATAGTGCTGGATCCGATACAAAAAAGAAACGTGGAAACATCATACGTTTGCGCTCCAAATATCCACTTAACGATTTTTGACAAATTTCAAGTTGCTCCTGTAGATGTGGTAATAATTGTTTAAGTAAATCATCGCCGACACAACATGCCACGACGCCTGGCGTCTCATGTGCACGTTGCATTATTTTTTGCCAAGATTTATCAATTTTAGAGAAACGTTTGGCTTCTTTCGGTAATTGTTTAGCTATATCACCGCCTACAAATACAGCCTCTAAATATACCCACATATTTTGCACAAGCAACCAACGTTCAAGTATCTCATTCGAGTTAGATAAATCAAAGACCCATTGTTGGATTTGTTTGCGAAATGGTGCATTATAACGATTTGACAGCAATGAACCCAAAACCATTAAACTATCTTCCAATTGACCTATAGTTTCAGCAGTTGTATCACCTCGTAACAATAGTTCGCCACGATTATTGAAACTCATAAACTGCAGCTCATGTACTGACCATTCATTAGTCACTTGTTTTAGCTTAGCTTCAATATCTTTCTCTTTCATAGCACTTATGCATATATCCTCAATATCCTCCTTGTGCTTAAGTAGTGGAGCTTCAAGTATATTCTTTAACGAGAATCCTTCAGAATCAAATTCAAATATATACTGTGTAACATCCATAATCCGCTGCCAATGCCGTGGTTTCATTGCTTTGTTCGCCATAAGCTCAAGCAATGGGCACATGTCGTTGAAATCATCAATAGTTTTCTTAAGCGCGTGGAAAGCAGGCCACTCTTTCAAACCTTTAGGCAGTTTTCTACAACGATTTTGGAACTCCATTAGTTCATTGTTAATCTCTTCAATATCAACTTCATTCCAAGGTATGTCATAGTAACTGCTAACACGATCAATAACATCATTATAGAGTTTATATAATTTTTGTAATAGATTAAGTTCTTTGCGTATTTGACCGAGTTCAGGATAATCTGTTTGCGGTAAGCCGAATAATTCCTCACCACTCTGATAGGCTTGCAGACGGCGCCACATACCCTCAAACCGATTTTGAAATAGTATTAGACGATCGGAAGCTTCACGTGGTGTTAGACCCGCCTGCATTGGACCAGCTGTACGATATTCATTAACATAATCAATCTTATCTTGTTTAAATTTAGAAAGATTATTCTTCAAATCATCCTGGAAAGATGGCTGCATTTCAAGCAATTTAACTTGAGCTTGTAGCGCACATGACAACAGATTTTGAAAAGTTGCACGTAAATTATCTACCAAATCGAACTGTTCACGTTCAACTTGTATATCATATCGGGTAAGCACATTAAAAGCTTCCTATGGTAACATCAACAGAGATATTAATAACTTATTATTTGCATAAATTTATGTACTTACTTCAATAGGGTCTATACGTAATTCCATATCAACTTCTTGTTCTCTTATCTTACTTAGAGTTTCCATAATCATGCGCACGTCGTCCAAGTCACGTATTGGACGATCTAGTTTACGATCCATTTCATTTATGACAGCATACACATAGTCCATTTCTTTCTTATATTTCTTCTTCATGGCCTGACCAATTTTATGTGTACATGCTTTATATGTAATAGAAACAAGAGTGTAGATATAAAATAACTGCAGATTAATGGCAATGTTAAGAGGTGCAAAAGTGCTAAACAAATTAAGTGCTTTAAATATTATATAGTTGCACTTAAGAATCTATAACTTAAAATTAAAAATATCTATCACTAGGACTACAGAAATTTGGATAATAAAATTATAATTAATAATATATTATATTATAATGTTTTAATAATTTATGGAAATTATCTACGAGTATCATGATATATAAAAATTTATAAGCAGTTAGTTATAAGCAGAAGTTGCTCTGCAAATGATGTGTTGGAAAATATATGTGTAACTAGAAAAAAATAGATTAGTACAGTCAAACTTCCATAACTCGAACTTCTATAACTTGAATTTTCTACAACTCAAACTAAATAGAGTACAACAGGCTTTAGAGAGCAAATAACATATAATTGCAAAAAATTCTGTAACTCGAAGTCTCCATAAATCGAACCTTTTCTTTGCAAAATGGTACTTCGCATTATAGTAGTTTAACTTTACATAACTTTAACATCATAGGTCTCTGCGAATGTATTTCAGAGACGCTTCAAAAAAGTGTGGATCTATCTACAGGAAATTTTCTATATTTTCGAGAAAAACTTTCTACAGTAAAGTACAGTATCAAAAAGACTTTTGTTTTATTAAAAATTTTGGTGCATAACTATTCAACTGAGTTTCATAACAATTGGTTGCAGAAACATGTTTAGTGCACTTCATAAATTTACTAAATCTTTTAAATTTTAAAGATATTTGAAATTATCTTTATTTATCAACTACTCAAAACCAAGAGAATGCAAAAAAAAAATATTCTTCATCTACATTAAACATTAAGTGAATAATTGGCAATAAAGTGAACTCATCGATAAAATTGAATTGGAAATGTCTGTAAATTATTTTAACACTAAATAAACGTTATTTACACTCCAAATTAATAATTTACAAAAGATTACACAAAGTCATGCAATTCAAAAATGCGAGTATTTCAAAAAACAAACAATCGGATTATTCATGTTTTAGTTAAGTACAATGAACCAGATACCAGATATTTACATAGATTGGTTGAGTGCGCAGATGCTTACATTTTATTTCGATAGCCAAACCATATTTGAGACGTTCATTGGAAACAGCTATGCATTGTCCAAACACCTCCATGTCAGGTTCAATTAATAAATTAGCATCCAAATCAGATAAGGAACGTAAAGTGGTCTCAAATTCTTGCAAGCCAAATTCCATAAGCTGACGAGTGGTTCTTTCATTTTTCCACAGGAAGTGATATGGTTTCCAACGTTTTACATATGTTTGTATATCAGGTTTTATATTTTTGATACAATTCGAGAGTTGATTAAGGGTTTTTGCGACTTCCTTGTTATCCATTATAGCAGAATAGAATGACTTCAACATGTGCGGCATTTGCGGACGTTCTTCTGAGGCTAAGCAATATAATTTCCGCCTTCGTGACCGAGCGTTATTTTCATTACTGCGGTTACGACCAACGCGAGGTTGAGGCGTAATGGAAACTTGCTGGTAATTGAAAATTTTATAATTAAGTTAAATATCACTAGAATTATACTTTACAAATAAATTAAAAATAAAAATATTATCTAGATTTAAGTCATATCTGCAATATGTATAGGAGAAGTTGTAGAAAACTGTGGTTTGTTTAAAAAGGTCATATTTCCATATTTCCCCATATGTACCATATTCGACCAATTTTATTTAATTTAATTTAAATAATTAATTAAATTTAATTGTCATTAAATAGAATTACTATGAAGTTGTGTGTTTTATCTGTCATAATAGAACCTGAAATTTTTTGTGAGTATATTTATAGCATGTTATTCGATATATCGAACATATACTTCTTGCAAAATCATGGCTTGATGCAAAAGACCTAAAGAAATCCAAACAAGTCAATCGGTTCAATCGCTATATTATATGTAGATTGTTATCACTGACGTCTTAACTTTACATGCAGCTACTATCTTATAAAGATTGAATTGAAAGATAATAATACCTGCAGATTCTGTAAAACGCAAAATAAAATATTCACACATTTTATATGCTCTCCTGCGATTATCACATAATGGATCCAATATTTCTATCTAGTTCTAATTGAACCGAATGAGATCGGAAATCTTGAACAAATATATATTGTTGATTCATTAGTAACTTTTATAAAGTTAAAAGACTTTCTTCAAATTTACATTTTATTGTCTTTTTTAAAGAGAATGTCAAGAATTTATTATTTTTTATTATTTTACTGCAGTAAGTCAAATATATATTTGAACCTATAAAAGTAGAAACACATGAACCTATAAAAGTAAAAACATAGAAACACATTAAATGAAAATTTGAAGAGCCTTTAAAACTTACAAGTGTTCCGACTTTTTTATAGAAAGAAAAAAATAAAATCTTTATATGGTACACAACACCTAAAAGTCTTATAATGATCTATGGACTTTAAATAGATCAATTTCTATATAGTTCAATTTGTACTAAAAAAAATCTATGATCGCAAAAAGTGGAAGATATGTCTATATTAGATTTCGAGCGAAATTATAAATATTTCTTAATATGCACCATTATCAATCATAATCAATGTCCATATGAATAGTAGCACTATGTATTAAGTTATACAAGATCATTACAAAAGAATACCTCAAAATAAAATGCTTTAATCTGGCTATATCAAATGATCTATTATTAATATTTAGACAAAAGTAATTTACTAAAACGCATTATAAATATTATTATTCTTATAATAAAATATGTCGAATTTTTAATAAAACATTGCTATTTCAAAATTTCCATCTAGGTCCACCCAAAAAAATGGAAAATCTAATATTAGTAATTATTTCATGGATATAAACACAAACCTTCTTATTCAATATTTCAACTGCATAAAATCACCTGTTTAACCTGCAATTGTGGTATTAACGAACTTTACATTAAAGTTAAAGCCATAAATTATAAAATTAATCCGCACTAAATTTAAACCTTGCACTATAATGCTTCTCCATAACTACTTTCAAAATTCAAAGTCTGTTTTATAACATGTATTTTGTCTTTTTTTAACATATGTTATAAAACAGCAGCCGGGAAAACTTTAGACGTAGTCGATTAATATAACCACAATACCAATAAAAACGTTGGTGTACAATCTCGAATATCTATATAAAATGAAGCTGATAAAAATCAATTGAGTTAAAACCCTAACATCCTATTCATTAACCAGCGATTGTAAAATATTTGGCACCCAAATAGAGTGTTTAAAAATTTTTTTATACACAGGTGTTACATGTTGAAATGTAATATAAGCATTCTTTAATACATATATTCTATTGATAAGTTTGGACTTACCGGATTTTCTTTACCACTAGTCCACTGTGCTACACCTTTGGCAATGCTCGTTATAGTTTTACCCGCAGTTATAAGTATATCTTGAAGTTCATCCAAATTGGGTCTAATAACAACGTTCGGTATACGAAGATGTGCAGATAATGCAAAAATCGGTTTCTTGGGAGTCAAATCGTTCTCATCTGAGATGAAGCGGCGACGAATCGTATCCAATGCAGCTCTTATTACTTTAATGAGCACATCAATCACTTTACGACTGTAATAGCGGCGCATTTCAACAACTGCATTACAGACCATGTCCTGAAATATGTTTGAGAAAGTAGAATATATATTAAAACTAATATTAAAAGTCAATTTTCTTCAAAGCGTGTGCCAACCTGCATTCCCTTTGGCAGACTTTCAGTTGTGGATAAAAGTGTCAGTGGGTTTTCAAAGCAAGACCACAAAATGCTCCAGTCCTGTTGCTGGTTGGTGTTGCCACCACCACTACCAGCGCCACCACCACTACCACCACCAGCGACACCATTAGTCGCTGCAGCAGCTGCACTTGTGCCAGCGCGTGCACTTTCTTCACCTTTTCTTGCAGAAGTTTGTTGTTCTTTCGGCGAAGCTGTAATAACATTTGTGAATAATTAACTTACTTGCAGTTTATGTTACTAATAAAATCTACACTAACTACAAGCAATTACCATCAAACAAGGTAACAATATCATCACCAGCGATTTCCTTGAATTTTTCCGTTGCCTTATCGACCAAATTCAGAACTTCTTCAACGGCTTCAGACACCATTTGGCTCTTGCGATTTAATTCGATTGCCGCTTGTCTATGATAACAAAATGTAAATAATGAAAATATTTGCGTAGTGCAAAGTGTATCGTAAAGTGATGAAAGCAAAAACTCTCAAGTCCAAAAATATTTAATAGAATTCGCCAATTTATTTTGAAAAAACGTTGAAGTTAAAATAATAAATATTAAAAGGATAAATGGCAGCAGACAACGATCAATGTAGATAAATTGAGGAAATTTATTTTCAACTGCAGTTGACTACAAAGTGAATTCCCTGACAACAACTATTACCCTCTCTGCTCCTACCAGAATTCATTTCGCCTTCAGTTTGGCGTTTTATGAAGTTTTTTGCCTCCAGTAAACATTAAACGGAAGATAGCTTTTAAAGCAATTAGCAAATTCCACAAGTTGTGCAAGCAGCTGTTTTCTCCATTGCGGATGTACATGTTACTTGTCCATGCTAATTGCTTTGAAGAGCCACTTATTAGTTACGTTTCATTATGGATAGCGAGCTTTGTTGACAGGCAGTGCAAAACGACTTGATAAGAGGTATATTAAGAAGCTCGATTATCTAGTTAATTCAAAAGAAATTCCTTTAAATGCGAAACCAGTAAATTCATTTTTTATTTTTTGAGTTGCCAAAGAAAATAAATATTTGAGAAAACAATAATATTTCCATGAAATTAAACCATGTCATTAAGAAACAACTTTAATCAATTTCTTATTCATCTGTATATCTCATATATTTTGTTTCTTATATGAACTTTCAAATACATATTGTATAAATAAATAAATTTTATTATTATAACCGCCAACACCCAGAAAGGGAGAGGCAGTTTAAGAAAAAAAATGAAAAACACAAACTTTGAAAACAATCTACATGTCATAATAATCTAAAGTACAGTATATGAACTAAATGGTGTCAGTTCTTAACAATTAACTCCGACGGTAAATCTTATTTTATTTTGCCTAGAATTGCCCTGAAGCAGCAAGTTAAGCACAAATTAGCAAAGCTATAAATATTTTCAAATACAGTAAAATTTGCAAAAATATGTCAAGAAACTATAAGCCCACATCAAATAGCCCCGCCATAAGTGAAATCTAAACTTGCCTTGTTGTTTATCATTATTGTCGTTACTACACTTTTTCTTCTAATCTTTTCACTTCTTCCAGCATATAATCATTCCATATATTCATAGAACATATACCTCTCTATTATTCCCAACTCAATTATATATATAAGTTAGGGCCGGTAAAATGACAAATACTTATTATAGTTATAATGGACTTATAATGGTAGTCCATTATAAGTCCATTGTAAGATAAATTTAAAATATCATTTTAGTAGTTTTAAGATTTAAATACTTATTGGTAATCTCTACCAAGAAGATTCAATAAACATTTTTAATATATAAAAAAAAGCTTCCTTACACCGAAAATAGAAAATCGTGTCCAATTTAACATATTCAATAAATAACAGCCATGATGATTTAAATCAGTACCGCTCAATCCAAGATAACATAACAGTAAAATATTCATGTGCATTACAAGAACCATATTGGAACGCCAATACAATAAGAAAAAACACTAGTACTTTCAGCTGCAATCAAAAAAATTTTGAAATAAAAACTTTTCTCCTCGACAACCTATAAAAATTATAAAGATGAAAAATTTATTACATTCAAATCATTACGAATTTACAAATCTTGATTGAAACCTATGTAAGATTAGTAAATCGACTTTTGAACACAACCAAAGATTCAGTCTATCTACCCACTAATTTGAAACACTTTCACAGCCCTGATTTTAAATACAACTATAAATAGGTATAATCATGTATCACAATACCTATTGAAGTGTGATTATGTTGAATACTAATTGATTACTTGAGTATCTCTGAATTATGAAACCTAAAATACTCACATATTAGAGTATGAAAAATATATAATTTCCAATAAAGAGGTTTTCGAAAAATAGTGAACTATAATAACAAAAATTCTTTTTTATATTATTTTAATAATTTGAATTTTTGGCTGCCCACACAAAATACCCATCATCAGTGGTCTTGTAATTCTTGTATTTAATTATTCGTAAATAATTTTTTTTGAGACTACAAGTGCCAGGAATCGAACTCGTGTCCTGTCAAATTTGAAGCTCAGAGTCAGCTCTCCTCAACCAACTGACCCAAAGCCGTACTTGATTTTTATGTTCGCATATTTTTCTGGAGTTTTGTGTCCTGCCAAATTTGAAGCTAAAAGTCGGCTCTCCTTAACCAACTGACCCAAAGCGGTACTTGACTTTTATGTTCGCACATTTGTTTGAAGTTTTGTTAATTTGCAGTAAAAGTTTTATTAACAAATTCACTTGCTGTGTTTATATTAGAACGAAATCATAAACAAGCTGTAGAATAATTAAATTAATTAATCATATTTTTATTTTTAATTGTTAAATTTTAATACTATTCTGTTTGTAGAGGCATTACTTGTTGCATGATTTATATATTCTTTCTTATGTATAGAACCTAATCTAGGGAAGTAATGCTGAGAAAGTCATGCTATTGTTACTCCACGATTCGCACGGACGAAACCAATATTTAGCGAATATAAGTTGTAATTTAACGTCATTTTTAATACGGAAGTGACCATTACATTTAATAGAAAATAGTATATTTCGTAAAGAGGTTTTCGAAATAAAGGTTTTCAATAAGAGTTTCCAATAAAATTCAAAAGTGATCAAAAGCAGTATATATTTGAATGAAAGTCGAGTGAGAATCACTTGTTTAAGTTATAGAAATAGTGTATGTGAAAAAATATGTGTGTTACCATTTGAGAATGTTTAATGGGTTTATTCGTGTTAATAAGATTTGAACTTGGTATTGTAATATTTGGAATTATGTCATAACTTTTGGTATATAGGTATTATTATGTTGTTGTTATTATGTTGAAATGAGGCTGCCGAAACTGAGAAATAATATTATCAAATTATTTCAAACTCTTCATTCCAATTAAAGTTGACCTGGAAATGCTTTCTACTTCTCAATACTTTAGCATCAAGGATCTATGTAATTCTTATGTGGGTACCAGGACATAAGGGGCAATGAAATGGCAGATTCCATAGCAATGAAGGGTGCATGTACTCCTTTCATTGGTCCAAAGCCCTTCTGCCAGGTAACAAATAGCTTCACAAATAACTTAATATGTGATTGGGAGAAACAAAATCTACTTAAACACTGGACATCCGAAACAGGCATGCGGCAGTCAAGAAGATTCATTGATCCTGAAAACCTCAGGATCAGGAGTTAACGCTATCCTTAACCTTAGCAGAAACGATATTAAACTCTACACTGAACTTCTTATAGGACACTTTAGACTCAATTACCATACGAAAAATATAGGTATGGTAGAAAATGATTCATGTCGACTCTGTCATGGGGAAAAGGAAACAACAGAACATGTTCTATGCAACTGCCCAGCGGCAGCAAGACGTAGACTTGACTACTTTGGAAGCAGCATCTTGGTCCCTAATCAAATAGGTAAAATTAAGCGCACAGCAATAACGAAATTTATAAATTGTCTAGAATTATTTTAGTTGGGCTTTTAGGCGCACAATTGATCTTTTAGGTCGGAGTGTATTCATAACCTATTATTTAATAATAATAATTATAAACTTTCAAATTTATAAATTATCAAATCAAATAGTATTTGAAATGTCTTTAACTCTTAATGGTATGCGACTAAACCCAATCACCAATCGACAAATTCCTAACACTATAGCTTAAATGGATTAATTTTCTTTAATTAGAATAGCCCCAAAGTGAAAGAGGAAGAGAAAACAAAAAAGAAGAGAAGAAAATACCACTCGTATTCTTTATAGAAACGAAAACATGAATAATTATTGGAATCCTAACTTAGATTGGATTCTTCATGTATACAAGAAAAAATAGCATTAGCTTTATATGTTATGATGATAATATACAACAATCAGCAGTTATGCTTTATTGACACTTTTTACTATAAAAAATAATTAAAAAAAACTTTTTACTAAAATGAAATTCACCTGCATGCTTCTTCATTTTTTTCTAAAAATTCTTCCACAGTCCAGATTTCATCATCTACGGATGTAAAAGTTTATTTTAAAAATAAAAAAAACAATTAGACAATGATAAACACTATTCTATACGGCCACATAGTTATAAAACTATGTCCTGCCCAAGTCCTTCCTGCACATCCAAGGTCATTACCAAGTGTGAATGCTCCTGCAAAGTTAATAAATATATAATAATAAAGTAGATACAGACCTGCTGGTAATATCTGCAGTGAGACATCCTGCATCCACATGAGTACATTTAGTATGCGATTGGAGTAAATGTCGTGCACTCGTGCGACAAGTACATCAAAAGTTTCAATTGCCTGCTTGCAGCGTTCATAGAATTGTGTCCAGTTTTGATTCGTCCACTTGAGCATAAATCAATGGAAGTAATAGCACAAACAGAAAACAAGCATACAATTTCATTAGATAAAGTTTTGCCTTGTTAAATGCGCCACGTACAAGCAACTAATTCAATTAACAACTTACATTGATTGTGTGTAGGCCAGGTTTTAGCATAGCCGTCAGACGTACCAATTGTGGTAAGAACAATGGGCGCACTTCTAACTTTACTCCGCGTACAGTTGTCAAAAACATTTTGATAAGATTCTGTTAATGATAAATGGAATGAAAAAATTTGCCACGAACTCCCACGTATAAGTCTTGTATTGGTTATTGTGTTTGGTTTGCTTACATTTAATGAATCCTGTATAGTATTAAAGTATTCTTGACGGCTCATTAGTGTAGCAGCAACAATGGGTAGCTCTATTTCTAATTTTGCCAACATTTTTGCTTCACGTATAAGTAAAGGTATTGTCGGATGTAAATTGACGAAAAGACGGTCCCCCTGCAGACCTAGCAAAGGCTGTAAGAGACAAGCATCAGCCACGCTTACCTAAAACCAAGTTTATTTTCAGCAACCAGTTCTACCAAACTTAAAAACCAATTATAAATTTTTTACTAACATCTTGATCCAGCCATATCGAGATTATTTCCTCTTCATATTCGTCTAATACGCCTACTACATAATTATAACGATTTTCTAAATCTTTTGTCTGTGGTAATTTACTAAGTACAGGATGCTCTGTCACTGCTATCATTAATTCTGTTATATGTGAGTCTAACGCTCTTGACCACTGTATACGTCCTGCTATTGGTGGAAAGTTTCTAGCTAAAGGTGGATCATCCCGTTGTCTTTTAAACATTTTTATTACCCGATCCACTTGCTTATCTACATATTTAATAATACGCGTATATTTTTCATCCATTTTTGTGAGTGGAATTTTTTCACTCACTTTTTCGAACCGTATTAAGAATCGTATGCATTGAGGCGTTTCCCAAACTGTATCAAAATTTGTTTCGATTAGTGTAGCTATAGTATCTTTAAGAGTATCAGTTTTAGACATAAAACGTTCAAAATCGTCATTAAATTCAATATTTCGATGATCTAAGTAATCATATTTTTTTGAGACAATATCTTTTTTAGCTTCTTCAAAATGATTAGAAGCCTCTTCGAGTGCTTCACCTAACAACAAACCTTCTAAGCGTCGCTCAAACAAGTGATTATAGTCATCTATCAGGTTAAACATGGACATAATTTTTGATAGGCGTTCACAAAATATATCAAATTTGCCGAAAACGAAATTTTCAGAAAAACCAAAAGGTGTTTGATTTGGTAGAAAAGGTTGTTCTCTAACACTGTAGTAGGTTTCGTGGTATATATGATTTAGTTTAATGCAATTGCTTAACTTGGTACGTATATTGTAGCGATCCTGCGACCAAATGGTCTCTTTGCAACGACATGTAATATATAGTTTACACGTTTCTATCATTTGATTAGTAATCTGAGGAGACATACAAACAAAAGTACGGGGTATGAAATATTGTATAATAATTATTAACGTAATAAATACTTAATTTTTATAAGTGTGTATAATAAAGTTATAACAATAGTAATAATATAATTATAGTAAAAGTAAAAATACTTTTTAAAACCGTGTGCAAGTTCGAGTAAATTGAGGTAAAATAAATTGAAAATTCCTAAGAAGTTTTTGCACTTCACTTATGTAAATATTTTTTTATTTATTTATTGCACTTACTTATTATATTTGGTTAAAAGTTTTCAAATTTATTTATTTATTAGATATCTTATAAAATTTTCACAATGGTAACACCTAACTTACCTAATTTTTATCTAATTTACCCTACTCGAAATTCTGGGAAATACCAACATCACTGCCATACCGACATAATTGACTATTTCCCTCAATTTACCATCAATTTACTCAAATTCGAACACGGCCTAAATAATTTAAATAAATTAAACAATATTTCCCAGCACACCACATACAACTTATTTAGTTCTATTATTAAATTAAATAGACTACCACTTCATTGTTTAGGTTAGAATTTGCTGGCACCAAAATTCCACGCACAAACTCCTAGGTTCTTACCCATGGCAAACTCAATAGTTATCAAGGGCAGACCTGTTGCCCTTCTTGATTCACAATAATTAGCTTAAATTCTCTGCGAATTTAAGAGTTATAGCTACATCATATTTGGTCACATTCTGGATATTGTGCCATTGGGTTATAATAAAACATTTCATTCGTATCTTTGGTAAAGCACCCAGAATATATTCTAAAGTCTTACTAGTTCCAGGCTTATTATTGTTGTCATCGACTATGCTCATACGATAAGTATGTGCCGTTATTTACATTAATACTTAAAATTTTAATTTTGAATAATAAGCAATGCACTTATTTTCTAGAATATAATGTATTTACAACACTAATCAGCTGTGTCTCGAGTTTACTTGAAATTACTAGAATAAATTTCTCAAGGGAGTTTAAATTTAATTTTGTGCAGTAAAAAATAACTCACTTCATTCTCACAAACTTTTTCATTTTACAGTACATTCACACTGTTTCATTAAGGCGCTTACTCATTTATATTAATGAGTGAACGTTCACATTAAAATGAGATCATTTATGCAGCTGATAGAACTTTTATTAACTTGTATAAACATAACTTAATAATATATCACACAAAAAAATTACATATATAATGATATATAAAATAATTTATATACATTTTCAATTAATAAAACAACGATTTTATTAAACACTTACTTTCTCAGTGTCACATTTTGCATATAAAACATATGACACATAAGTATATCAAATTTTAATCATATCCCTTGTAGGAAATTTATTTGTATGGGTTGCATTCTATAGTTTTTGCCTTTAATGATCTGATATATTGATAATGAACTCATTTTTATGAAAGTTCTTTGTATGGTAAATTATCCTCATTTGTGACTATAAAGCATGAAATAGACCAGTGATGTATGGCTAATGTTTATGCGGCCCGTGACTTGTTTTTAATGTACTACAATTACGCAAATTTTCTTTTGGTGTACTGATAAAACTATATTATTTTGTTATTATGATATACCAAATAAATTAATTTATATTGATAAATTCAACTTTAAAACCGTTTTTTATTTTTGTCGAAAATAACTATGAACGCATGTATTTGTGTCTGCGGCCCTCCAATCCGTACAGTGATTTGTATTGGCCCGCGATCGCATCTGGTCTGCACAGACCTGATATAGACGATGCTACATGTATGCAAACCAGGTATGTCGAGCTACCATATCACACTGTGTATATTCAAGTTTCTGTGTATATTCAAATTTCGGTCTGCAGACATGTATGCGGTAAGATTACACCTTGTGTCAAAGTGTATAGCAAAGCGCATACTTCGTCTGCTTACTTAGGTCGTGTGCGAGTTAGGCTAAGTTGCGTTCTAAATGAGGGAAATTCTAAGTTGTGTCGATAATGTATTGATGTGTCGATACGTGTTGATAAATGGCAAAATCTGTGCAGTGCAAAAAATCCCAAAAAAACTCCCATTTGGTTTAGCATCAACTTAGCCTAACTCGCACACGACCTTAGTGAGCATAAAGCATAAGTTGATGCTGAGATTTTTTGCACTCCACACATTTAGCCATTTATCAACACGTATCGACACAACACTACATTATCGGCACAACTTAGAATTTCCCTCATTTAGAACGCAACTTGACCTAACTCGCACACGTCTTACATTTCCCTGTATATATGTATATATAAACATCAAATAACAAACATATAACAAACGTCTGTTATAAACGAATCTTTACTTTCGACTTAAAACTAAGCTACATTCCTTAAAGTTAAGCGTTGCTTCCATTTGTGCTGTTTGTTAAAATTGCTTAGTTAGCAATTTTATTTGAATTCTTTTTATATTCTGTGCAACAGTAGTGTGTATATTTATGATTATAATGCATAATTGGTTAAATTCAAAATAAGTTTCAAATAACAGCATTAAAAGTAACAACAAATATAATAAATAATAGAGACAAACTGTTATGGTAAATTTAGGGGTTCGGTGCATTCGTCACTTATATATACAAAGTATTTATAAAAAGACATATAACAATTTAAATATAAATAAATATTATAAATAAAATATTTATAAATTTATATTTTCATGTAATAACTTATATAAAAATAAAATTTAAAACATATAAATATTGAGGTCGACACTAATACAAACATTCTAAAATATTTAAACATGGATAATTACTTTATATATAAATTAATTTTATGTATATTTAATTTTATATATTATTCATAATAGTTACTAATTGTACCCCACTTGACTTTATTACTTTTTACACCAACCTATATAGACCGTGTATGAGTTCAAGTAAATTGAGGTAAGGAAATTAAAATTTCCTATAGATTTTTTGCACTGCACTTATGTAAATGTTTTTTTATTTATTTTCAAATTTATTTGTATATTTATTAAACATTCTTTAAAATTTTTTCAATGGTAATACCTAATTTACTTAATTTTCATCAAATTTACCCTACTCTAAATTCTGATAAATACCAACATTTGCTGCCTTACCGACATATTTTACTATTTCCCTCAAATTACAATCAATTTACTGGAACTGGAACAACAGTTTCTATAATTGTCATTGACATAATTTTTAGCGTTTTTATAATGGAAATTTAAACCTTTTCCAACACTGTCCACGGTGCACCAGCCAGTATGAAACTGACATTTCCACTTTTCAATTATTTATCATAACAGAAATGGTATCAACACAATAATTAAAAATATATGAAATTGATTTGGAAATGCCAAATTTAAGTATATAATGCAACAGTGCATTATAATCAGTAAATAATTGAATTTTTAATTTCGTTAATTTGAATTTGAAACCGTCTTGTTTTGAATTCAAGAATCTACACTTTCATCCCTCCCGGAGAGTTAAATAAGTAATTAACTCTTCAGGAGGAGAAATCAAATATGACATTTCATACGTCGAGTTATGTTTCTCAGTTCATAATTGTTGTGGCGTGTGTGTGTGAGAGTTTATAATAAAATATCAAAATAGTGCAATTTGGATTGAATCGTTATCATTGATATTAGATATAATATTTTAATCATAGTTTAAGTTTTTTGAAATTTATTTATCAAAATGGAAGCCGAACGTATGCAAGGTAAGATATAATCAATTGACGACAATTTTATGAAATGAGTGGAGGACGCCGTGAAATCAAACACAAATGAAAACAAAATAACACTAAAGGGAAAGTGAACATTACTGTACATTATTTGCATGTTTAATATAATATTTATTGAATTAATAAATAAAAAAAGTGTTAAAACGCAACGTTCACTCCGCACATCCTTAAAATAGCAGATCTAATGTCAAGGACACTTGGCGCGCATTTGACAGATGATAGCTTTTTTAAAAATTCTGTTCATTTATGCGTTTTTATTATTTATTAAAAAACAAATATATTTAAAATTAAACCAATATATATATATATACGATAAAAACCGGTATTATGGCGTACCTTGTCTGTCCGTCCTTAAGGTCCCTTTAATACATACATACACATTCGTTACATACAAATGTATTTATGTTGTTGCATTCAATAATTATCGTATGCACTCAATAATTTAGTTTAAAATTAGAATTTTGTTAAATGTAATTGCAAACTTATGATTTTATAAAGTGTTACAGCGAAGTTAAACAAGTCCTGTTTGCTTATTTCAAATCAAGCGATTATTATTCGTTTTATATACATAAAATATACATTCTATACTTCTATATCTATAGAGGATTCTGGCCAAAGTATTATATCTGACCCTTTTGAGGAAGCAACAAGATTACTAATCAGTTGGAATTTACCTCATTTGTGCCAAACATTTAGAGGTAAGCTATTTTTGTACTATATTTTATTCGGATTTCTTTAAATGTCCATATTATGCATTTTTGTTTTTTAATAGAACAAGAAGTTTGTATAAATGCGTTAAGAGATATAACAGACGACGACATATATGAACTTATACCTAAAATAGGGCCACGTTCAATATTTCGCGCACGTTTACAGGAATGGCGAGAACAACAGACAACAATTTATGATAACATGAAAACAGCTCATGAAGAAGAAGTCTATCATAGAACACGACAATATGTGGAAGAACATCCTGCATCAACAAATTCAAATCAGCCACCTCAAATTCTTATAGAGTCACCACAACAACTTTATCATCAACATCATAATACAGAAGATATGAATACATCAGCGAATATTGAAATCTCTGTAAGTCCAACAACTGCACATTCCATAGACTCTGGTATTAAAATTGAAACGATTGAATTGTCAGAGGAAGAGTGGCATGATATCGGTATCGTAAAAATACCAGAAAACAATATCTCAAGTATAGTGAATGAAAGGGGAACAACACCAGCAAGCATATGTTATAGTGATTGCGACACTCTAATGAATGTGCCCAATCATACTGCAGATAAGACTCTTGAACCTATGCAAGGCAATTTAAATTCTTCACAAGAAATGTCTGAGTTATCCGACAGTTTTGATGAATCATACAATGGTTCCTGGCACGAAACTAAAGACTTGAAGAAACACAGACACTTAAACTTGGTAGGTGCTAAATTTATACTTTTTTCGAAGTACTGTGAAAGGAATATATTACATCTTGTTACATTACAGAACGTTTTTAATATTCTACAAAGTGATTACATAACTAAAAATATCGTAAGCTCAAAGCATAAAAGTCTTTATAGAAAAGAACGGAGTTTAGTTGTAGAGGCAATTGTTTCATTTGTAATAGACAAACAAATTCGCTTACTGGCATGTTGCTTTCCATTTATTACTGAACAAATTTTAAAGATATTTCCTAAAGAAAAATTTGTGAGTATTTAGCCAAATATTAAATATATACGCCTAAATTAATTTTTTTTTTTTAGAAAACTTACTTTAATCAAACTATACCATCTCGTACCGCAGGATTACTTGTAACAAAATATAGGAGAGAATCACTTTTACTGCGTAAAATAGGCATAAAACGTTATCAAGAAAGAAACCGTACAGCTCCTGCATGGTTACAGAGTTTACCCAATATAAGTAATAACAAGAAATAGAATACTAGTATAAGTTGATTAATATATAAAATTTTTTTTAATAGTAAATGACTAATTTTTTGTATTAAATAATTTGTAATTAAGAAGTAGTATTTTATGTTTAGTATATTAAGTATATTATGCGAATACAAGAAACATTTTATTATATACCTACCTTAACCATAAGTGCTGAAGTTCTTTCTGATGTATTATAAAACTGTGAAACTGTGTATATTAGACGTACTGTTTGCAAAAGGCCCAATATAGAAGATTTCATGCTTACCTGCAAAATTAAATCATTCTAAAAAAATTAAACTAAATTTGAGAATTCACGTATTTACTGGATCATCTAAATATAATGAGTGACAACACGTTTCCATCGCTTGTATGAACTTAGAATTGTCTCGAGCTTCATTGTAGCAAAATGTTATCTTACAGTCAGTTTCTTTCCAAATTTTAATAGTTTTTGAACCAGCAAATACAAGACAATTAAGTGTATACTGCACTTCCTTTTCTTGCAAGTGAGCCAATAATTGTGAAAATTGTGCACCACGTTTTTTCCAATATTCTAATTCATCTTGTGGACCACTTGAATCATTTTCTTTACGTAATTGTTCACTTTCTCCAAGTATTTTCATAATACTCTTTATCCAATTATTTAAGCGCTCTTCTAACTGAGTGCAAAATTCTTGATTTTTAGATAAATCTTTTACTTCTGCAACATCCTCAACCTTTTCAAACAGATCAAGACCATCCGCAAATATATTGACGTGATCACACACTTGTTCACAGACACGCAAAGCACTGCAAAATGAACGCAGTCCCGGTAAAAGTTGTCCTTTTATTAGACCGCAACTTAGATCTTCTTCTTCCCCATCAGTATTAGGATATGCCAGCGCTTGCATAAAAACAAATTCTATTATACGCTCTATTGAAGTAACAAGACCAATATTTTTCGCATCTATAATGCCACAGTATCTGAAATATAAGAATTATTAAATTTAAAATATGATTGAGGTGTATAAGTCTAAAAATTTGAAAAAAAAATTTTTGATGTGATAAAAAAGAGATTTATTTAGTTAGTTACTTGCAAATTAATTATGTATATTATTATATTTTCTTTTTCCATTAAATCTAAATATGTAGTAAAAAAATATTTGCATTTATAAATTAATTTCGATGAGTTTTAAGGGTTTTAGGGATGCCGTTCGCCATCTTCTAAAGAAACTTAACAAGCAGGTATGTGTTTGTGTACATGTCGTTTATGAGTTTTTTTCCACTAATAAGCAGGTCCCGGCCATCTTGCTTATTTTGTTACTTCTAATCGCCGAAATTGAACCCAACCCTGATCCGGTCGGATCTCTCATTTCTATCTAGCACTGTTCTGTCTGCCACAGAAACCAAATATCAGTAAGGTGCAATAGTTGCAATAACTGGTGCCACCTTTGTAATTGTTCAGGTTTGCATAGCCATACCGATTGTAATCCTGCCTTTACAGGAGCTTGCTGTCCAACAACTTCCCTGTACAAACACTCTCAATCTTCGTCTACCTCTAGTGGCCCTTTTCTACCAAACTCCTTTCTAGGCATCTTCCGTACTATTCACCACTGGCTATGCATTATATGTTCCTATCATAGATATATCGACACCCTTTGCAATGAGACTAACATCAGTAAGGTCGAATAAAAACGTGAACTTATAGCCCTCCACATAGATGCAATATCCGATTCGAGACCAAGGTTGTCAAACAACAAGGTTCTCAACAGTCCTCCGTCTAACATCTCCCCGTGCAGCAAAACTGTCATAGCTCAATTGAGATCAGGTTATAGCCGATTGAGATTGAGATTGAAAATTTCTATGAATTATAAACAACTGATTCCGATTTGTCGGATACACTAATTTAAGAACAGATTTTTGAATATAAGCTGCAAATTTGTTAGCTTTTTTCTCGAGATGTCATCGTTTAAAGTTGCAAAATTTTTCGTTGATTGCACTAAAACAGCAAAAATACACTCGCCATCTAGTGCTAATTTGTATATGCAATTTTTACATTAATTACACAAACGCCGATTTACAACAAGTAGGTGTGCCAGAGATGTCCGCTGTTGAATAGAGGTGCCCGGAAATGGAAAATGTGGCAATTTGCTAAGTGAAAATGTGTTTTGTACCTGCATATTCTATGTATCCACACATGTTAGTATAAGTATAAATATAAACATATATTTTATATACACTATATATTTTTTCATATACATATATTACATATTTTCTTTAAAAATATTAATGTAATATAACAACTTACAAGTCCTTTTGGAAACCTTCCTCGGGTAATTGTTTGGATGTATTTACCCGAAAAATGTAAATGCAAACACCAGTAAGTGGACAAGACCAGCCATCAGTAAGAAACAATTTCTTTTGTTTAACTGGAACCGAACCATTTGGAGAAGCGCCTATTGTTAGTAATTAAGAAAAATTAATCAAAAATAATTTTTTTTTATCAAAAACAAATAAATAAGACACGTTGCACAAAACTATGTGTGGCTAAGTCAATCCTAACAACTTTATATTAAAATCAAAATCATTATTCTAAATAATTATATTAATTACTTATTTTAAACTCTAATTTTAAATTAATTTTAAAATTTTATAAATAAAAAATAATAAATAGAAAATAAAAAATTAATTTGAACTTAATTGTTTTAAATATTATATATATTGCATTGAAATATGTAATTTAAGATAAAAGTGATTTTAATATATAAAAATGTCCACTTAAATTTATTTTCCTTAATCTCGTTCCTATATAATTATTTTTTTTTGTAAAATGCAAGATGTAAAGACTACAAATGTTCACAATTTGCTTTAAATCAAAACTTGATGTGAAAATATTATTGTGTTAAGCAATTTTGCTACATTTTCTAATAATAAAAAGATTAGTTTTTATATAAAAACCGTTAATAATATAGTTTTGTGTGAAGTAGGCTGTTGATTTTCAAACAATTCAAATTTTGTAAGTAGTCTGCATATGTTACACGCATTTATTATGAATAGTTCTTTGATTTATTAGGGGGGCTAGTCCTACTATTTTTCTTAACTGCTTTTGTTATGGCTACATGTATATGCCCACTTCATCAACATTCATATAACTTCATCAACATTTGTATACCTTTATCAACATTGATATTACTTTATCAATATTCAAATACATTCATCAACATTAATATAAATATATCATCATTCATATAACTTCACCAACATTCATATAACTTCATCAACATTCATGTAACTTTATTAATATTCATATAACGGCATAAATATGCATGTAATTTTATCAACAGTCATATAACTACATTAACATTCATATAACTCTATCAATATTCGAATAAATTCATCAATATTCATATAACTTTATCATTATTCATATACCCTTATCAACATTAATATAACTTTATCAATATTTAAATAAATTCATAAATATTCATATAACTTTATCACCATTTATATACTTTTATCAACATTGATATAACTTTATCAATATTTAAATAAATTCATCAACGTTCATGTAACTTTATCAATATTCATATACCTCTATCAACATTGATATAACTTTATTAATATTCATATAACGGCATAAATATGCATGTAATTTTATCAACAGTCATATAACTACATTAACATTCATATAACTCTATCAATATTCGAATAAATTCATCAATATTCATATAACTTTATCATTATTCATATACCCTTATCAACATTGATATAACTTTATCAATATTTAAATAAATTCATAAATATTCATATAACTTTATCACCATTTATATACTTTTATCAACATTGATATAACTTTATCAATATTTAAATAAATTCATCAACGTTCATGTAACTTTATCATTATTCATATACCTCTATCAACATTGATATAACTTTATCAATATTTAAATAAATTCATCAATATTCATGTAACTTTATCACCATTTATATACTTTTATCAACATTGATATAACTTTATCAATATTTAAATAAATTCATCAACGTTCATGTAACTTTATCATTATTCATATACCTCTATCAACATTGATATAACTTTATCAATATTTAAATAAATTCATCAATATTCATGTAACTTTATCACCATTTATATACTTTTATCAACATTGATATAACTTTATCAATATTTAAATAAATTCATCAACGTTCATGTAACTTTATCATTATTCATATAACTTCATTAACATTCATGTAACTTTACCAACATTTATATAACTACATCAACATTCTTGGTACTTCATCAACATTAATGTAAATTTATCATCATTCATATAAATTTATCATCATTCATATAACTTTAACAACATTCATATTACTTCATCGACATTCATATAACTTTATCAACATTAACATAAGTTCATCAACAATGAAAATAGCTCACGATCATATCGAACCTAAGCAATACAAAATAAAAACAGATA